GATTCACTTTAGAACCAAAGATACAAATAGTTTGAGAGTGAACGGATGAGAAAAAAGATATTCCATGGTAATAGTAACCCAAAAGAGTGGAGGTTGCTATACTAAAACAGGAAAAATCATTAAATCAAAAGATTACAAGAGTCAAAGAAGGACATTATATGTTTACAACAATTTTAATATGAGAAGATAACAATTATACACATGTTCATCTAATAACAGATCATAAACATATGAAGCAATAATTGACAGAATTAAAGGGAGAAATAGTTCTATAATAATAGTTGGAGACTTTAATAACCCACTCTCAAAAGTAGATATAACAATTAGACAGAAGATAAATAAGGTAATAGAGGACTTGAACAACACACTAAACCAACTAGATCTTATTGACATACTGAGAATTTCTACCCCCAAACAACAAAACACACATTCTGTTCAAGTACACATGGGACATTATCCCAGGATAGACCATATGTTAGGCCAAAAATCAAGTCTCAATCATTTTTAAACAATAGATATCATATAAATTGTCTTCTCTGATTACATGAGGGTTAGTTAGAAATCAGTAACAGAACACTGGAAATTTCACAAATAAGTGTTAATTAAACACTGTTAAACAACAAATATGTCAACAAAGAAATCACAAGGGAAATCAGAACATAGGTAGAGATTAATGAAACCCACAATACAATATATCAATCAGAATTTATGGAATGCAGCAAAAGCAGCACGTAGAGGGAAATGAGAGCTGTAAAAACACTGAAAAAGAAGAAAGATCTCAAGTCAACATCTCAATGTGAACTTTCAACTTACGGGTTAGAAAAAGAAGAGCAAACTCCACCTGAAGCTAGAAGTAGGAAGGAAATAATAAAGATTAGAGCAAAGATAAATAAAATAGAGAATAGAGAAAACAATAGAGAAAAGTCAAAAGTGAGTTCTTCAAAAAGATCAACAAAATTGAATGTTTAGCTAGATTGAGACTCAACTTCCTAAAATCAAACTAAAATTGGAGCATTTCTAATGATTCTACAGAAATAAAAACTATGAGTACTGTGAACAATTAATTGTATTGCACACCAACGAGTTGGATAACCTAGATGAAATAAACAAATTCTTATAAACACAAAACTGTGAAGGCTGAAACATGAAGAAATAGAAAATCTAAAAAGACATAACTAGTAAGTCATCAGAAATCTTCTGACAAAGAAAAGCTCTAGACCCAATGCATTCATTCGTGATTTCTACCAAACATTAAAGAACTAGTATCAATTCTCAAACTTAAAAAAATTTTTTTTTCCTTTATTGATATTAGAGAGAGGAAGGAAGGGAGAGAAAGATAGAAACATCAATGAGAGAGAACATTGATTGGCCGCCTCCTGCATGCCCCCCACTGGGGATCAGGCCCACAACCTGGGCATGTGCCCTGACCCGGAATGGAACCGGCGACCTCTTGGTGCATGGGTTATGCTCAATCAGTGAGCCACACCAGCCGAGCAGGAAGGAAATTCTGATACATGCTACAACGTGGATGAACATTGAGAACATTATACTAAATGAAATAAACCAGTCAAAAAAAGTACTATATGATTGTATTTATATAAGGTATCTAGAGTAGTCAAATTCTTAACGACAGAAAGTGGAACAGTGGTTGCCAGGGGCTGGTGGAAGGAGGGAATCAGGAGTTAGTGTTGAATGGGTTTGAGTTTGGGTTTTGAAAGCTGTTAAGAGTTCTGGAGATGGGGGGTGGTGATGGGTCACAACAGTACTAATGTACTTAATACCACGGAACTGTGTACCTAAAATGGTTAAGATGGTAGAAAAATAATCTTGACTGTTCATAAAGCACATAGTATAGACATGTCTTACCACTAGTTGATGTTGTTATGATACTTTTAATATGTTTAGGTTTTCCTTAAGTTGTAGATTTTTAAAAGTCATTAATGATGCTACAGATATTGTGCTCCCATAATTGTGGCAATACTACTTTATTGATTATTAGAGCAAGCTCTGGAATGCATTTACAGAATTAAAGTTTCTTAGTACCAACACCAACATATATTAGAATGGGTTTGCAAAAGCAATTTTGAAATTTTGTCTTAGTGTAATAGGATTTACTTTTACATTTACTATTAAATTACTTTAATGTTGTATCTGGAAATAACAAATACCCGTCACATGAATTATTTTAATTTTGTTTATATTCTCCTGTTTTCCTATTTAACAGACACATTGAGATCACAATAAAAACAGATTTGAATACCAATAAATCTCCCGATTTACTCTTAATTTTTTGTTGTCTTGTGTGGTGCTTTAAATTTAGATATTCAAAGAGAAGAAGAAAAAGTGAAACGTTCTGTGAAAGATGCTGCCAAGAAAGGTCAGAAAGATGTCTGTGTGGTCCTGGCCAAGGAGATGATCAGGTCAAGGAAGGCCGTAAGCAAGCTCTACACATCCAAAGCTCACATGAACTCGGTGCTCATGGGGATGAAGAACCAGCTGGGTAAGAAGGCCATTACCTCACAGCCACCCAATTAATACTGATGCTCTCGCTGTTATTATCAATACTCGTTGCCATGAATAGGAAGAACAGTCTCAGCTCTGATTTTTTATTTATTTTTAATATTTATTTATTTACTTTTTAATTCTCACCTGAGGATATGTTCATTGACTTCAGATAGAAAGGAATGGAGAGAGAGAGAGAGAGAGAGAAACATCAATGTGAGAGAGAAACGTTGATCCACCATCTCCCACACCTGCCCTGACCGGGATCAAACCTGCAACCATACAACTGAACCATCTAGCCAGGACTCTAATTTGTTGTTGTTGATAATCCTCATGTGAGGATATTTTCGCATTGATTTTTAGAGAGAGTAGGAGGGGGAGGGGGGAGAGAGAGAAGGAGAAAGAAACATCTGTGTGAGAGAAACACATTAATTGGTTGCCTCCCACATGCACCCTGTGACCCTCTGGTGTGTGGGCTGTCTCTCTAACCACTGAACCACACTGGCCAGGGCTGATTTTTATTTTTTTTTATTTTTATTTTTTTATCCTCACCCAAGGATATTTTTCCATTTTTTGTACAGATAGAGTGGGAGGGAGAGAGAGGAAGGGAGAGAGAGAGAGAAACATCGACATGAAGGGACACATCGAGTGGCTGCCACCCGCATGACCAACCAGGGCCGGGGACAAACTGCAACCGAAGTACATGCCCTTAGTGGGAACCGAACCCGGGTCTCTCCGGACCGCAGGCCGACGCTCTAACCACTGAGCCAAACTGGCCAGGGCTGATTTTTATTTTTTATCATTGTCTTAGTTTGGGTGTTATACAAAATGCAAAATATTACTATCATTATTTTATTGTTACTTTTTTTGCTAGTGATGTTGAAGTGACAGCAAAATCTACTCATAAAAACTGCTCTGTTTATAAGTTTGAATGTATTTGCTCATGTGAACAGTGGTACAGAGTGACCTGAGAGTTGAGTCTTGGGTTAAACTTGACATCCGTTTGGATTCTGGTCTTTCTTAATTTTTGTTAAATGAAGAAGTCATAGTTCAGAATTATAGTTGCTGAGAATGGCAGCAAGTGACTGTCAGAAATTTAGACTGGCTATGGACTCAGAAATTAAGAGAAATGTTTCACTAAAGAGTATTTTCAACTCTGTATCAGGTACTACATTGATGAGTATGTCACACTCAAAAGTTAGAAGATTGAACGTTTCCATTTAAAGGCTGGTGCCAAATTAGTACCTAATTCATTCTTTGGTTGTATTTGGCACTGAGGGTATTGCTTTCTTTCTTTCTTTGGTTAATCCTTACCCGAGGATATTTTTTCATTGATTTTTATTTAGCTAGAGTGGAAAGGAGGGAGGGAGGGAGAGAAAGACAGAGACATTGATTGGTTGCCTCCCAAACAACCCAGACCAGGGCTGGGGATTAAACCTGTAACCCAGGTACATGCCCTTGACCAGGTACATTCTCAAGGAATCAAACTTGAGACCCTTGGTCCAGAGGCCGATATTCCAACCGCTGAGCAAAGACAGTCAGGGCTCTGAAAGTATATCTTTACATTCAGTTTTGTTTTGTTTTTATCCTCACCCAAGGACATTTTCCACTTTTTTTGTTCAGATAGTGTAGGAGGGAGAGAGAGAGAGAGAAACATTGACGTGAAAGGGGCACATCGAGTGGTTTCCACCCCCACGACCCAACCAGGGCCGGGGACAGACTGCAACCGAGGTACGTGCCCTTAGCGGGAACCGAACCCTGGACTCTCCTGGACTCTCCTGTCCTCAGGTCGACGCTCCAACCGCTGAGCCAAACTGGCTAGGGCTCAGTTTTTATATTATAAAGGAAATAAAACATTTTACTAAAGTTGAAGCTCCTTTAATATACTTTTCCAAATCCATTCCCTTCTCTCTTAGTCTCCCTAGAGGGAAACCATTATCATGAATTTTAAAATTTGTATAAATGGTATTATACTATACATACTATTTTGTATTTTTTCCCATTTATTATTGTGTTTTGAAGTACACTCAATGATAAATATATATTTTAACTAGTTAGTAGTTTCACTAATTTATATTTCCATCAGCAGCCCATGAGAGTTCTTTTTTCCATGCCTTTTGATATTGTCAGAGTTTTTAAGTTTTGTGAAGTGTTATCTTGTTCTTACGTTTCTCTGGAAACTAGCGAACTTGATCACTCTCTTCTGTTCACCTTTTCTTCCTGTGTACTGATGCCAAAAAAACCTTTTCAAGCAGTTATAGCTCACAAATAATCACTCATTTACATGAAAAAAAAATGTTTTTCCCCCATAGCAGGTACTTCTAGTGGTAAACATGACAAAAGCTCTCTTAGGTACTAAACACAAGTCAAGAGTCTGTTATCCTTTAAATGTATGTTCTTAACAATATATGTTGTTCTAAATATATGTTATTTTGTGACTTTATCACAACTGAAAAGTAAACTGTCTGCTCTTTGATCTTTAAATGTTAAGGTGCTGTAAGGCTCTCTGTTCTGTTGGCTCCTTTCCACCTTCACTCCAGCCTCGTGATCTCTTCTAACCGCTTGCCTTCAAATGCCATTGATTTGTGAGTTTTCATCTTCGGGCCTGACTTTATCACTGAGTGTTTAGTTGGCATCTCCACTCATATCTTAATGGGTATATAAAAATGAATATGCCCATATAAACGTCTTGGCTGGTCTTACTTCATCTGCATCCCCCTACTCCCCATATTTTCCTCTGGGAATCAAGACATCAAATAATTTTAACTGTAAACGTTTCCTTGTGGATTTCTAAAAGCAAGGATTCTATCCCTTCTCTTCCCTGGTCTTTCAGTTCTGGGATTTGTGATCATTTCTTTTCCACTCACTGCATTTTCTGTTGCTGTTGTTTTTCATGCAAACAAAGTATTTTAGTCAGTTGTTAGAATTCTTAGATTGATCCTTTAATTTGTTAGCTTTCCTATTTTTCTGTTTTGAGGATAATTATAGTACCTTCCTCATTGGGTAGTTACGAGGCTTCATTCAATGCCTGACACGTGGTAATTGCTGTATATTGTAGGTTCTAAATATTATCACCATTATCATCAATTTAGTCTTTGTATTCTACTTTCAAAGAAATTTCCTCAACTTTGTATTTCATTTATTCTCTTGAATTCTTTATTTGACAACCTTAATTTTTATTTTCAAGAAAGAGTTATCTGATAGTTCCTTTAAAAAAAATACCCTATTCTGCCCAGCCGGTGTGGCTCTGTCAGATTGAGTGTTGTCCCATGGACTGAGAGATCCCAGTTGGATTCCCACTCAGGGCACATGCTCAGGTCACGGTCTCGATCCTTAGTAGGGGTCGTGCAGGATGCAGCTGATCTATTTTTAGCTCTCAGATCGATGTTTCTTTCTCTCCCTTCCTTTCTCTCTAAAAAATCGATTAAAAAATCCTATTTTTATTTCATGAATGTAGTATTGTCCCTTATTATTGACAGTCTTCCTTCTGAAAATTTTTTTGTTCCTTGTATAGGTTCTCAGAGCTCCTTCTCCCCACCATCTCCTTCTTCTGTATCCCTCTCTCTTCTTTAAGAAAGAAAAAGAGCCCTGGCCAGTTTGGCTCAGCGGTTAGAGCGTCGGCCTGTGGTCCAGAGAGACCCGGGTTCGGTTCCTGCTAAGGGCATGTGCGGTTGCGGTTTGTCCCCGGCCCTGGTTGGGTCATATGGGAGGCAGCCACTCGATGTATCCCTTTCACATCGATGTTTCTCTCTCTCTTTCTCTCTTCCTCCCACTCTGTCTGAACAAAAAATGAAAAAATGTCCTCAAGTGAAGATAAAAAAAAGTTAAGAAAGAAAAAGAGAAAAGGGAGTGACAGAGAGGGGAGAATGGGAGAGGCTGGATTAAGTGTAGGCTTTATGAGTTCCTTCTCCAGTCTCCTCAGCAAGTAGACGAAGCTACAAAGAGCAAACTGTTTTATTTCTTTTTTTTGATCCTCACCCGAGGATATTTTTTCATTTTTGTTCAGATAGAGTGGGAGGGAGAGAGAACAAAGAGAGAGAAACATCGACGTGAAAAGGACATATCGACCGGCTGCCTCCCGCATGGCCCTAACCAGGGCTGGGGACGCACTGCAACCGAGGTACGCGCCCCCGACCGGAATTGAACCCGCGATTCACTGGTCTGCGGGCCGACACTCTAACCGCTGAGCTAAACTGGCTAGGGCAGAGCAAACTATTTTAATACATTTAGTAAATTCATTTATTTTAGCCCCTGTTCTGTGCCATATACATTGCTGGAGATAAAACAGTGAACATTGCCCTGGCCGGTTTGGCTCAGTGGTTAGAGCGTCCGCCTGCGGTCCGGAGAGACCCGGGTTCGGTTCCCGCTAAGGGCATGTACCTTGGTTGCAGTTTGTCCCCGGCCCTGGTTGGTCGTGCGGGTGGCAGCCACTCGATGTGTCCCTTTCACATCGATGTTTCCCTCTCTCACTCTTCTTCTCTCTCCCTCCCACTCTGTCTGTACAAAAAATGGAAAAATGTCCTCGGGTGAGGATAAAAAAAATAAATAAATAAAATAAAACAGTGAACATTATAGGAACAGTCATTGCCCTCTAGGTATGGGGCGAAACGCAAATAATTGGATAAATTTAATAAAAATAATAATAAAATAAATAACCAAATAAATGTATATTTGTAATTGTGAATTGTGATAAGCTCTAGAAGGCTGTAAAAGGGGAATGCAGTCAGGGGCAGCTCCTTACACGCATGGAGGAAATCTGAAGGAGGATGAGTGCTTAAGTGTTTGTGTAATGGCCCTGGGGCCAAACCGAACAGTGCACTCTGAACACCGGAGGAAGATCTGGGTGGTTGGGTACCCCAGCTCTCAGGTTGATGGCAGTGAGGATGAGCAGGGAAGTGGGGAAGACAGTTTTTACAGCTGCTAGAAGCAAGGGTTTTTAGAGACACTTAAATTGAGATGTACCATGGCAATGATGCAGATAAAATGCAGAGGGAGTTC